AAATTAAATGGAAGCGTCAGCTCTATTGATATAATTTTGGGAAAATTGTACTACCAGTCCTTTATGACCTTAAACAAAATAGGGTAAATACATCTCATATGGCTAATTTTGGCCCAAAACTCTTCATAACACTATGAACATAGGTCTGGAAAGAAAACTTTCCTTCAGGCACCCGTATACGTGATATATGCCTTTAGTTTTTAGTTGTATATATCATTTCCATGATAATATCAAGCAGTCAGTTCTTATAGTTCGTACGTTAAATAGTGAAACCGCATTTTAGAGATAACTCATAAATATCCTTAAGTGCGAGATTGCTTCTATAAAAGATAGAGATCGTTTTACCTTCCTCTGCTCCACCTTTATCAGAACGAATTTCTAACAGCTCATATTTGTCAGTTACGGAGGCCCTTCTGAGCCGCCCACTTTTCTTCTCCTTTCTAGTTCCATTTTTAATGATCTCATCATCAGTCCTTCCATCTGTGGATGATGGCTCCGGAATCCGATTGCGTCTAGTTTTGCTGTTTTCGGTTGAAGTTGTTGCTGCCGCCGAAATGTGCTCGTCTCCCTTTCCGAAATGCGAATTTTCCGGTTTGGGTAGTTGTCGTTGCCTGATAGGCGCTAGGCCACTTTCTGAATAGGCCGTCAGCTCAGGGGATTGAGCAGAATAAGGCGATGAGAATATGGAAGTGGGCGTGTTGACAACAGCCGCAACGGTAACGTTGGCAGCCAAATGACCATCTTCTGATCCGTGTTGTATGCTGCTGAACGCTCTGTCAGATCGGCTAGACGGAATCGGAGGAGGTCCGGGCTCGATGAGTTCGGCAACAGCAGCTATCGCAGCCCTAGCCTTTTGGGCGCGAGTTGATGAGGGCTGTTCCCCGTCCAGTGCCGATGCGGATCTTTGTTTACCTCCTGGCTCACTTGAACCTGCGTAGAAAAAGAAGGACCACAAAAACAGAGGTTGGGGAAAAAAGTTTAGGGTTGATTTATGCAGGACTGGCATGAGAAAATAGCTTTATATGAAAACAAATTGCAAAAGGAATCGAACTGTGAGTCTCATACTGCCATTCAGATAGTGTGAATCAAGCACCTATAAAATACAGCTTTGTGAAACGTCTAAGAAATCGATTACAGAAGGAACTCTGTAGTCAGCTGCACAATAAAAAAACTTATTTAAGAGTTTGAATTATTTGGGAACAGGAGTTTCTCCTGATGTTATCAGCACAAATGCATTTTCACACGACAAATGAGACTATCCTGCCTCAAAAGTCACGTCTAACAATTCAAAGATACTAGTCATGCAAATATAGTCTAGAACCGCACTATAGAAGGGTGACCGCATCGATGTCCATTCTACATTATAATCCACCTTTTCGAGTGAAGACAAAATAATCCTAATGACCATTTAAATTCATCTTGAGCAGATT